TCCCGGCCTCACCCCCCGCTGCTGCTGCTCCTGCTCCAGGTTCCGCTGCAGGACCTGCTGCTGGTTGGCGATGACGCGCCGGATGCCGTTGACGAAGTTGCTCTGGTCGTGGGGGATGAGGCCGATGAAGATCTTCTTCTCCGAGGAGTAGAGGAGCATGAGCACGCGCACCTCGCACGACGCCTTGTAGGAGAAGTGCACGCAGCCGGCCTGGCGGGCGGGGGCGGGGGTCACCGTCTGGCCGCGGTGCGGATGCGCCTCCCCACGGCCACCGGGGCACGAGCACGCGGGCCGGCGCCCCTTGGAGCCGCGGCACACTGCGTCCTGACCGCCGTCCCCCCGGCCCTGGTGTCGCTACCGCTTGGGGACGAGGACACACAAGCCCGCAACGGCCTGGGAACCGACGGGCTCTGCACAGAGGCACCGGGACTTGGCTGCGACGTGCTCCAAGGAGACCACGGCGCCCACGACAAGCAGGGCGATGGTGGGCTTGCGAGTACGTGGACTGCCCCCGAGGCGCCAGGTGGCCATGGCCGGGACTCGCAGAGGCCCCCTCGGGCCCCAGGAAGCGCAGCACTAAGTCCCCCACACGTAGGCCCTGGAGCAGCTCAAGTGCCAACCATGAATCCCCAGTGAACGGTCAACGACACTGTTCCCTCAAACCAGGGACGCGGCCGAACGGACAGCCACCTCGGGAGAAGCGCTCCCGCTCTGCCTCCCTGGACCTTGCTCTCCAGTCACCACCCCCGGCTTATAGGTGGGCAAACTGAGGCTGACTTCAAGGACTCCCAAGGCCCCTCAAACCACAAGGGGCTGTGCCTTCCTGTGCGCCACCCCAGGGAGACGGCGGCGGCAGGTGTCCAGGGGGAGCTCCTACCTGAGCCCCGGCCCCACCGAGGGAGCGCGGAACGCTGGGCAGGGCCGGCCAGGTGCACGCGCGGCTTTTCCAGCTTCCCCCGTGGGAGCGCTGTGCTCTCAAACTTTTGTGACACAAGAAACACACAGCCCTCCCTCCAAACACACTTGCGCTGCTGTGACGGAATCAGATAGTTGGGGACGCATGCCGGCCTGTGACTGCAAACGTCCACAAAACGTGGCGACGCTGTGCTTTCACAAGCACCGAGACAACGCACCTCCCCTCGCAGACAAACTGAGGTCAAGAACCGCTGGAGGATAAGCCGGCACCTTGAGAGCTCGGGCTGGGAGCAGACAGACCTCGCTGCCTGACAGGGCTCTTCCGGAGCCTCGGATTGTCCATGAGAAAACCCGGTCCCCGTGGAGGAGGAACCTGGGAGCACCGGGTCAGCACTCAGTGGTTCCAGCCCCTCGAGACTCTGGTGAGACTCCGAGTCGACCCTGGAGGCCGGTACCACACCGGGTGCGAGTCCTACTCTGAGCCTCAGTTTCCCCATCTATAAAACGTGTCCGGGACGGCACAGACCCAGGGAGTCCCGTGGACCGGGAGCCGACAGGTGTCTGGACACGAGGCCGACCGGCTGTCACCATGAGGGCTGCCGCCACTCTCTCCCCAGCTGGCTTTGGGGAAACAGCCACCGGCCGTCATCCGCCTTCTAGTTTTCAAACACAGAGCGGACCCGGCCCCGTCTGCCCAGGGGGGCCTTTCCGGCCGGCCGCGCCCCCACCCACTCGCCCAGCCCGCACACGCCGCACTCACGAAGCCGTTGTCCATGATCCGGCACAGGCTCTTGAGCGTCTCCAGGTCCTTGGTGAAGTGAAACTGTACCAGGCGCGAGTTCCGGAACAGCGGCACCAGTGTGGTCTGCGGGCAGGCCGGACGGCGCCGTGAGACAGGGTGCCCAGAACGGTCCGCAGCCACGCCGCCCAGCCTCGCCCCCGCTTCTGACCTCCACCGGGTCCACACCCGCCTATCTTCACTTGCCGGACAAGCTGGCCACAGGGCCCTGGCACGTGCTGTCCCTCCGTCTAGGATGTTCTCCAGCCGGCAACTCCAGTGCCCCCTTCTCGGGGAAGCGCCCCGGCCACCCCACGGTCTGCTGTCTGTCACAAAGGCCGAGTGCCTCCCATCACACTCACCAGCAGCTGCTGCGGGATGAGCTGCATGTACAGCTTCCTTGGCCACTGCTCGGTCCTCCTGCGGGGCAAGGGGACGGGGGTCAGGAAGCTGGGTCTTGGCAAGACGCTGCCTCCGCCCCCAGCCCGGCACTCACAGGATCTCCCCTTGGTTCACGTAGACATGCGACGGCAGCCACCTCTTAGACCGACTGTTGGGCTCAGGCCTGGGCTTTTGGGGAGAGGAAGAGGGGAGACATCAGGAGGGGGGAGGCACCCCAGTCAGCGAAGACATGCTGGTCTTCAGGTCGCCCAGGTCCCCCCAGGACTCACCTCTTGCCACTCCATGACCCCACTCCACGCCAGGAACTTGTTGTTGACGATCTGAACTGGGCCCGCGACCCCACCGGGACCCACCGCCTGCAGGAACACACAAGTGGGGCCGATGCCTGGGAGTGCCCCAGGGATGCTTCTGGGGAACCTCAGAGCTGTCCTGAAGACCTTGGCCCCCGTCTCCAGGCAGTCTGGCCACAGCCCCAGAGCTGGCCCGGCCCCTCAGCTGCTCACAGACCTTCCATGGCTCCCCAGTGCCCCAGAACAAGTCTCAGATGCTCAACCTGGGGTACAAAGCTCACAGGGTCTGCCCCTAAGACCCAGACAACCCTACAATTTGTTGCACAAACGGGAACACTACTCATAAATAACTGGCAAGGGGTGAACCAGGACAGTTACCCTCCAGAGCCTTCCAGCCGCATAGCAGCCCTCCCCATAAGCCTGCCGCCCACCTCCAAGCCCTGCTGTGTGTAGGAGGCCCTCCTGTGAAGAACCGCCCTCCACCCCCC